CGATTAATCGTTTGACAGCACTAATAATTATGTAGTTATGTAATATATAATTATATAGGTATAATTAAATTATATAATTATTTAGTTATACTGTATAATATTACAATATATAATATTTTATATACAGTACAATACCATTCAAATGTTTGTGGTCGGTAAGATTTTTTTATGTTTTTTTTATTAATGTGTTGTAATTCCTTGATAAAATGTACAGTAAACAATAATATTGTGAAATATTATTACAATTTAAAATTACTATTTTCTATTTGAATATATTTTAAAATATAATTTATTCCTGTGATCAAAGCTGAATTTTCAGCATCATTACTCCTGTCTTCAGTGTCACATGATCCTCCAGAAATCATTCTAATATGCTGAGTTGCTGCTCATTCCTTATTGTCAATGTTAAAAACAGTTGTGTGGTTTAATATTTTTGCAGAAACTGTGATACTGTTTTTTTAGGATTCTTTGAAGAACAGAAAGTTCAAAAAACAACATTTATTTAAAATATAAATTTTTTGTAACATTTTGAATGTATTTAGTGTCACTTTTGATCAATTGAATGCGTTTTAGCTGAATAAAAGTATTACATTCTTTAATAAAAAGTCTTACTGATCCTAAACTTTTGAACTGTATCATGCATATATATATATATATATATATATACATATATATATATAAAATAGTGTAATAATGACAACAATCAGTCTATTCAAATGCATTTGAAAAGGAGGTGTGCAATTTCACAAAGCCTGTTTGAAAATATTCCACATTTTCCAGACAATTAATGCATAAAACATAATGCACTAATAGCCAATTGCTGATTCACATCAGATATGACACATCACATTTGTGACTATAAACAAACACACATGCACAAACACAAACGCAGTGCTGCTATTCACACCGTAAGTGTGTGTGACACTCTGCCAACTGCGGCTGACAGATAAGGAGGGGATCCTGACCACGCACCGCACCGATTAGCAGAAGAAGTGCACAGAAACTATAGAGAAGCTCTCCGGTAATGCTAGCTCTTATCTGAGCTGATAGATTACTGCTTTAACACGCATCTCAACCCCCCTGCGCTCACAGCCATGAAGAGGGCCTTTATTTACTTTGGGAGCCTCATATCTGCAGGCAGTGGGTCCATCAATAGCAGCGGACTCAATTTGAGTTACACTTTTAGGGATTTGAGAATGCAGCGAAATGTCAATGAATGAAAAAAAAAAAAAACAGAAGGAAAAATGTCATAAAATAACAGCTATTGATTATTAGGAAAAGTTCACGCATACAATTAAAATTCGATCATTATTTGGAAAGTTGACATCCTGCAAACAGTCTTTTTGCTATAATTATTATGCATGCTTTTATGGCCTCATATTAACCATTCCACAAGTGAAGTCAAAATGGTTTTTACAAATATAATAAGCAGGTATGCTTAAACTACACATCCACAACTGCATAATTGTTTCTTATTATCTTTAAGGAGTTTTATAAAGTTAACATAAGAATAACTTTTACATAACTTTTATAATATTTCAAGTTGAACTGGACTGAAGCAACTTTGGTTTACTTGATTATCCAGACATCTTATTTTTTTTAGAAAAATCATGCTCAAATGTAAGTATTAAATATGATCATCAGTCTTTTGAGGAACATTTTTAATTGTTTATCTCTCAATCATTATTGTATTGCATTGCATTATAGGTTTTGCAACTACAGAGCTTTGACCATAAAACTAACTATGTATCATCTTACTAAGACAAATTATTGGGAGATATGGAGTGACAGCTGATATTTATATAATTTTAGGTCAGTAATCTGCTATACTGTTATAAAGATCTCATTCATTTACAATACAAGCTATCAGAATGTTATCTTAATTTTTGGCCATACAAATATCAGCATCTGCACGAAATTGAATATTTTTGCTCCATTTGGGCCTCTGAATATAATTGAGTTTTTTTTCCTTGAGTACGAGCTCCAGAAATAAATTATTTAGAGAAAGTTTTTTTTTCTTAGATTACATATTTAGTCTGAAGTTTCAATAAATTGTTCTATTAAATTAGATTCTGACTATTATTTCATGTGTCCGGCATTACAGGGTTAATATGTGCCCTTTGTGTGCTGTATAATATAAAATATACATATAAATTCTAATTAAAAAATAATGTGTACATTTGGCAGTTATGAAGCATAAACATAAAATATGTAAATTGTTAAATCAGTGTGTTGTGAGATTGATACGCCACTTGTGTTTAGGTGACATATATAAATGTGTAATTGTAATTCAATTTCTCAAAATTGCTGTTCATTTCTTTGCGAAGAACCTTCTGAATTAGCAAAAATGACTAAATGCACTTGTTAGAGATGAGAAGCGCTCAATCTGAGCAGCAGAGGGCGTCCTGAGACGAGCGCAAACGCATCGCATGCAGCAAATGACACCTTTGAATCTCACAGACAGTGCGAAGGCGTGCAAGTGCAGAGAAGATGCACACATGCCCTACACACTCAGAATATGAATACTAATAAAATATATTAAATCATAATAACGACTCTTGTTGTCACTGTTATTAGTGCTCTGTTAAATATCCACCAGCCTGCGCAATGCATCAACTTCAAACCCCTGAAACTTGGTTGCACTTTTTGGCCAAAATAACCTTCCCTGTGTATGAAAACAGCACATTTGCTGTAAACCTCACAGTAGCCTGATGTCTCACTGGACACGTGCTATTATAAAGCATCATCACTCGTAACATGTGCACTGTCATCTAATAGCTCCAAAACATAAGATAGGAAGCTCCACTTGTCATATCCGCATTGCATTGCTGTCATCATATGGGGAAAAAGCCGGTAGGCCCAAACCAAAGCAACAATCCGCAGCCTCTGACAAGCTCAAATCCATCTGCAACTACCCACCGATCACCTCCTGGGAATACTAATAAAATATATTAAATCATAATAACGACTCTTGTTGTCACTGTTATTAGTGCTCTGTTAAATATCCACCAGCCTGCGCAATGCATCAACTTCAAACCCCTGAAACTTGGTTGCACTTTTTGGCCAAAATAACCTTCCCTGTGTATGAAAACAGCACATTTGCTGTAAACCTCACAGTAGCCTGATGTCTCACTGGACACGTGCTATTATAAAGCATCATCACTCGTAACATGTGCACTGTCATCTAATAGCTCCAAAACATAAGATAGGAAGCTCCACTTGTCATATCCGCATTGCATTGCTGTCATCATATGGGGAAAAAGCCGGTAGGCCCAAACCAAAGCAACAAACCAAAGCCAATGACGGGCTCAAATCCATCTGCAACTACATACCGATCACCTCCTGGAGCTCGTACGCCTCCTTGACAATGGGCCAGCTGGTGGTGAGCGCCGGCTGCGGGGTTTGGACGGCCGCCGGGGAGTCGCTCTGCTCCGCCATGATGCTGCTGAGAGAGTCGCTCTCACTCGCTCACCTCCGCTGCTGCTGCTACTGCTGCCGCTGCTGCTGGATCACTACCGCCTGCGATGAACACATCCGGAGAGAGACATCGCGAATCCTACTACAGCGAGGGCTGAGCTCATGAATATTCATTGCGGCGCGCTGATGTCACTACAGCGATAGTGATATTAAGTAGCTCATGAATATTAATATATTAATATTAATTGAAATTGAATATGAATATGAATATAATATGAATGAGTATCGCTTTTTATTTCTCCTCTTTCTTATTACTTGTTTCGCTTCTGTTTCAGTTTTTTATAACTATTTCTTACAATGTGTCAGTAAGTTATGTATGTGTGTGTGGTTGTACATACACATATGTAGTTGTTTTTTTTGGTGTTTGGCTTAGTGTTATGTTAGAATCATTATTATACTCTTATACCTTTTGTTCTTTAATATTTTGAATTGTTTTTAGCTTAATTTTTTTGTTTTTCATTTAAATGTTAAGTTTTTAAATTTTGTTGTATGCATTTGTCATTTTTATTTAATCTCTTTATTTTTAAAATGTGTATAGGTAGTATTTATAAAGTTTTAGCTTTTAGTTTTGGATCTGTTTTTAGTTGTTTTAATACTACAATTGATTGCTTCTGTTGTCCTCATTTGTAAGTCGCTTTGGATAAAAGCGTCTAATAAATGACTAAATAAATAAATAAATGACTAAATAAATATTAATTCGGCCATGGTGACGTTGTTTGGTGACCGTTGTTGGCGCATCTAGTCACGTTAGATTGATTGATTTATTGATTGATTCTTTCTAATCGTCTAAGCCCCTGTTATTTATTTATTTGTTTATTTATTTATGCTTTCTAATAGTCTGAATACCAATCTAATAGTCTTGATGCCAACCCTGAACCAAGAACTACCAAACTTTGCTATAAATTTGATCGCAACAAATAATCATATCAGTATAGTCTTCTTTGAGCGTTCAGTCACGTTAGGTAGCCTAATTAATATTCATGATCAAACCTTGACGCCAAATTGCGTCAATAAAAAGTTTCCCCGTTTTATGGGTTGTGTGTGCTGCTTGCTTTGTTTGTTTAATGTTCTCAAAATGTAAAGGCTGATATATTAAATACCACTTTGTAAGAATTTTAAAATGAATCAGTCTCTTCAGTCTCTTTCATGACTGATGATCTCTCTCTCACACAGACACACACACACACACACACGACTAATAGCCTTGTAAAACACTTTAATTGCATTTTTTCCGCAATGTATCAATAGCCTATAGCCTACAACAAACAACCGTTAATAGCCTAAATCTTCATAAAGATTTTAAAAAGAAGTCGAATCTTGATTATTTTGGCTTTATGTATAAAGAATTTCGCAAGAATTGATATATAATTTACGATATGATCTCTATTTGTATTCACCTCTGTAAAACAAAGTAAAAGCAAGAAGGCCAGCACTACAGTAGGCACTGGAAAAACTATCCATCGACCAGCAGGTGGCGCTATTTCATAAGATTTGGCAGCTAAAGGTGGCCCTCTATAGTTCTGTGCTTTTATTTTGATGTGTGCCATTTATAGCGGGGTTATTGCAAGAAGCCAGACTAATACAACAAAAGATTTTAATTACACGTGAGGAGAAAATCAGAAAGGATAACAAAATAAAACCAAAACTTTTTTAACAAAAAAAGTAATAATACATTATTAGTAAGTAACACATTAATAATCATTTTTTTTAAATAACAGATGAAAATGTACCGTACAGATGAACACTGATTGCTTTCTTGTTAGAACACAGTAATAAAACATAAAAAAAAATACAAAACTAAAACTATTACTATTACTGGTAACAAACAGAACTAAAAAATAATAATAAAACTTAAATGGTAATATTTAAAGAAAAAAGTAATCAAAATGATAAAAGCACACATCAAACTGAGTCAAAATGAAACTAAAATCATATCTAAATCTAAAAATAAAAATAAAAGCTAATTATAAAAATAAAGCTAGTATAATGAAAACGATATTAAATACTTATTATATACTTATATACTATATCAATTACACTAAAATAACACTGGTTCTGAAGCATCTGGATTTATGTAGAGGCCCATAACTTTAACATTTTTATTGTGTTTTTGTCGTGGTTATTATTATTTTATTATTTTTTTAAGAACAGTGTAACCCAGGTTTTTAAAAAAGTACACTTCCATAATGTAAGCTACTTAAAGTATCTTAAAGGCCATCTTTCATACACTAGCACACTCAAGTGTTATAGGCTACAAGTGGTGACTAAATACATTTTATAATAATACAGAGATGGTGTGTTAAAAGTGCATTTTAGTTCATATTTGAGGGTGAGTAGGCTACATAATGACATAATCATCATCATAACTGCTGAAGATGTTGCGCTCAGGGTTCATCCTCAGCTGATGATGATGATGATGAAGATGATGGGACAGGTTTGTGTTCCTTCACATTGTCACTGAATCTTTGTATGAATTAGGACAATGACAGGAACCCAATATGGCCCATCTTCTGGAATAATAATACTGATGATGAAAGTAGGTCAGTGGCGCTCTTTGTTGTGTAGATCATTCTTAGGTGTGCCATCATTTCTGTTTTTGTAAGCGGAGTGTTTTTATACCAGATCTGAAGTTTGAGAATCTCCACTGCCTCCCAACACAGGGGCATGTTGTCACGCTACTGTATGGGGTAAGTTGTCACAAAGGGAACCACAAAAGGGTGTCATTTTTACCACAAAAAAAAAACAGTAAAACAATTACTCCATGAAGCGCAAAATTGAGTTTAATATGTTTCCTATTGTGCGTTAATGTCATGGAAATGCATTAACCCTATTAAGATATGTTCGAGAAACCCGTCTAAGGTGACTGGCGATATGCTTGTATTAATCTGAATGTTGGATAATCTTATTTAAAATATTTACAAACATTTAAAAGAAACATCATGGCCTACATTTTTAAGAGTCTCTTGACCTACATTTTGCTATTCATCACACTGCTGAATTCCTGAATATGCTGATTATATCTATACAGAAATAATTCAATAGCTGTGGAGCATGTAAACATCTTTTTCAGCCATACCTACTCTGACGTATAATAATAATTTTTAATATAAAAACAAACAAAAAAGTATCTTATACTCACCAAGGCTGCATTTATTTATTCTAAAATACAGTAAAAATAGTAATACTGTGAAAATATTTTTTATATAATAAAATAATAAAAAATATATATAATGATTTTTTTTTTTAGGAAAACATGGTACTTTTTCAGGATTCTTTGATGAATAGAAAGTTCAAAAGAACAGCATTTATCTGAAATAGAAATATTTAAAATATTAAAATATAATAATGTTATTATAATAGTATTAATATATCAATATTATATTATTTTTTAATATTACAAACATATTTACTGTCAGTTTAGTCCATTTAATACAGCCTTGCTGAATAAATGTATTAATTTCTGTAAAAAAAAAATTTTAAAAAAATTTGTGTATATAGGTAATTATAAATTAGGTAACAATACTCATATTTTTGCGTCCAGCCATGATATGTCAGCTCATATAAATTGAAAATATATTGTTTGAGATTTATATGTATAAATATATTTATATTAAATATTGGACACATTATTTTTCCACCTGATGTTGTTGAAACATAATAAGTGATTGACAATGGATAAAAGTGAGAAAAAAATGAAAGTGGGAGATTCACCCAAACCTTTTTGAACAGTCAAAAAA